TCTAATTATATTTGTATTAAAAAATTTTAAATCTAAATTTTTAATTTAATAAAAATTTTTTAATATTTTTATTTTACAAATTTTATTACAAATATAATTAGATTATTACAAAATCAAATTAATATGCTTATTTAAAAATTTTAATATTTGCAAATTAGTGGAAAATTCCAAGCGAGGCGCTTTCTAGCGAGGCGCTTGCCGCGCGGCAGATTAGTCATTCTCGTTAACGTATGGCTTAGTTATTGCAATAATGGGATTAATTTGTGAAGTACTATATGAACGTAACCGCAATAAATAAACACAATAATTATATAAGGTATTATAATTATAAATGCTAAAATTAATTAACATGGTTCTTTTTCTTGTCCTGTTTATTGATAAGATTTTTATGAACAATGTTTGTAATTTAAAATATTAAATATATTATGTAAAAATTAGTTTATATGCAAATTATATCGTATTTCTAAAATTTAGAATCTAAATTATCTGGTTATTAATTAAAAACTAACAATTAAATAAATTATATTAATTAATCATTAATTAGGAACAACATTATGTTGACATCATATTATCATTAATATAGAAATAAATAATGTAAATTACAAATAAAGTAAAGTTATATTATATGCAATGTGCCATTATTAAGGTAGCACCGCAAATGTACAAACATTTCATTTATAATAATAAAACTAGTCTAAATAATATAATATATAATAAATAATAATTATATAATGTTGATATCGATTTTATAGAATAATAAATATAGTTAATATAATATAGATTGGTACCAAATTAATAAACTACATTTTTATGTACCTCATTAATATTTGGTCAACCTCATTAATATAAATACAACCCAAATGTTATTCATTTCAAACAATGCCATCAATTCATTCCAATTTTGTGTTTCAATTCATATGAATTATTATAAAATTATGTGATAAGAGTTTTCTAAATATGTTTTAACAAAATAAATTTAATTAAATTAAAAAATTATCTACTATTTTACTAATATTTATCTAATCTATTAATTTGTATTATTATCTCAATAATGACTAAACATAGAATTCAAATACCGGATAGATATTTCATGAAACACTCATTTAATACTACGTGTGATATTCGACTGGCAATGCCTAATTCAGATGTATGTATCATGATTAATTATATTTAAAATAAATTACTTTTAACTTAACAATATTTATATATTTCTCTGTATAATTAGATTCACCAATTAAATAATGGTCTATATGAAATAAATCCAGAGTACACAATAATGATTAGTATATTTTTTCTTTATTTAAGATGCAGGTAAAATGTTGTTTAAACTATAAAATAAAATTAATCATATAACTAATAAACAAGACATTTGCTTTAATATGGGAGTGTATGAGACTTTGAGAGAGTGATATTTAGGGGGAACTCAAAAACACTGTGACACTATACACCACTACTACACTATTACACTAACAAAGCTATAATTCAATTGACAAAAAACGTTACAATAAACAATTCGAACTACGATAGCATTAGAGGGGAGTAAAAGGAGAGGGGTGGGTGTGAGTAATAGTGCTTATACTGTACGAGCTGTACTCGTATATTATATATAAAATAAAATTAATTTATATAAAATAAAATTAAAATATTATACTTTATATAATCTAATTAGTATCACCTTTGTCACTCCTCGGCAAATTGCTCATGATCCTCTATTAAAAGATAGCCTTTGGGCTGGAATAATGGCCGACTATAATGACAATGTAAAATAAACAAAGATTGCACAGCGATGCTATACGTTAGCCACAATTCGGGCCACACGATCCTATAAACCACATTATTCATACTGAATTGTGGTTTAAAATTATTTTTAACCACAGTTCAAATATGAATAATGTGGTGTATAAAATTGTTGAGCTACCGATCCCCCCTCCGGTCCTCCCACTCTATAGAATTTAATATGGGATTACAGCTTAAGTCTATGACATAAGATTAACATGGGTAATGCTAAGTTTATGGCAATGCTAATCCTATGAGTAATGTTAAGTCTATGTCATAGGAATAACATGGGTAATGGTAAGTTTATGGACAATGATAAGTCTATGTGTAATGCTAAATAGCCTGTTTTAACATTAGTATTGAAAAATGTAGAATATTTTATGCATTTCCCAAATTGTGGTTAACGTATAACATCGCTGTGTGAACCTTGTTTTGATATTGGTTACTATTAAACAAATAACTAATACAAAACTAATTATGCTTCAAATTACTATTTAGCTAGTAGATGTGACGGGCTATGTAACATTAAGGTCTGATATACTAAATATAAGCCATCTGTTATATCCACAATATGTCACGAATATAGTATCTATATTGTCAACCGAGATGTATGAGCATGGTCAGTTTACATTACTTGATTCGTTTAATAAAACCATCTGGTTTGCTATTCTCTGCGTCTCTATCATGTATATTTTAATCACACTAATATACAATCGGTATAAATACAAAAACGCAAATCAACAGTTTAATTTAAACGAGATCATAATATGTCTTATTCTTGATCTGATCTTGGTGATAACAGGAAAATGTCAGTATAATTATAGAATTACATTTATTTTAATTATAATTTTATTATTCATTAAGCTGCTATAAGCAAATATATACGTGCTGGATCATTTGGTAGTTTAATATTCACCATATGGTTGGCAAACAGTCTGTTTTGGATTCAGTTGTTTTCCAACAAATTTCTATCCAATTTAGCGAACCCTCCGTTGCGTTCAATAAACAGCATCGAAGAAATTGACCGCCAAATTACCGTGTTCATTGACAAAACATCATACGCCTACAATCATTATCTCAAAGTTAGCATAAATTTACAGCATACTCAAGGTGTTTATAATAAATAATGTAAATTTTATATAGAAAACATATCCCAATTTAAACTACCGTCATATATATACTTATAATACTTTAAATAATGCTAAAATGATGGAGAAGATTTACCATGGTGACCACGTGTTTATAACGTCAGAGTTTTACCTAGATATTATTACTCGACGACACCCGATATTAGCTCTGCATAAATCACGTGATAACTCATTGTTATCAGTAACTCAGCCAATGGTTAACAAACACCTAACCGAACAAATTAAAGATTCATTTAACCTCAAGTAAGTTATTAATTTAATTGCACAATTTGTAAACATATTTAATTATGCTTTAAATATTATCAGGCTTAAAACTATGGTCGAGTCTGGCGTAATGTCATGGATTTATGCTCATGGTGGTAAATTTATGTTTGATCATTTTGATCAGGATAGTTCTGATACGGATTTATTTGTCCCGTTAATACTAATTGATATAAAACTATTTTTCTATTGGTTAACGTATGGCTTATTTGTTTCAATAATGGGATTATTGTGTGAATTATTATATAAGAGTAATCGCAATAAACATATAATTTATTTATAAATATAATTAGTAAATTAATAATAATTATCATTTTTATATATATAAAGTTTTACTTATTTATCTAAAGCAATAAATTATATTTTAATTTAAAAAATTATATTTTCATAAATACAAAATCAGCTATTTGAAATTGTCATTTAATAATTAAATGTTACTTAATTATTTATTAAATAAAACATTCTGTAATGCTATACTTAAATGACTATAAAAATAATAATGTCTATGTTGTTTCTATACATTATTTATTTACAATTTTATTTTGCATTAATAATATAATTCCAATATTTTAATATGGAAGATACCTTAATAAATATTTTAACACGGAACTAATATTTCAGTCTAATATAGTTAAATGTTAATTTATTTTTATTGTTAATATAATGATATAATAAAAATTTTTTGATGGATATTTTATGTAATTACTGATGATATACATATACTGTATATACAGTGTGGAGATTAATCGACTATACAAAAGTAAACTCGAATATCTCGAAATGTATTCGGTCTAGAAAATTAATTTATCTATCAAAATACACATCAACTGCGGGAGTTTTTGTTATGATATGGTCAATATGCTTGACCTCTTATTATAGGAGTAATCTCAAAACTACAAAATTTTTGCCATTTTGTCCATAGTCTCGCGAATGGTCCATTTTTACATCAATATAGTCACGTGACCAAAAATATTTGTATGTGCAAAGAATTTCCGGTCATGGAATTGCAATTGACAATACATGGGTATGAATATGATTTATCAAGATTATTCATTTTAAATGCACATTAACTTGTTGATATTTATATATTTTGAAATGGTGCAATACAGATACATCAATTAAAACCTGGTCTATATGAAATATGTTTGGATTTTGCAATTACTTTTAGAATATTCTTTTATTATTTAAAATGCAGGTAACATACTTGATAATATAATTAATATAAGTTAACTAATAATATCTATTTAGTATTGTCTTTGTAAATCCTAAAACAATTACGCAGGGTGTTTTACTTGAAAACGGCACTTACACTGGTATACTTGCTGATTTTAATGACAATGTAACATTTACAATATCATATAAATTAGATTATAAATTACTGAAAATATTTTTAATTCTCACCTAGCTAGTAGATGTGTCGGGCTATAAAATTGCAACACACGATAATCTACACTTAAGCAATTCAATTTATCCAGTATTAATCACTAATCTAGTATCAATATTGTCTACTGAGATATATGAACATGGGCAATTTACATTACTTGATTTGTTTAATAAAATTACCTGGTGTACTATTATATTTGTGTTTATAACATGTATTTTAATCATGGTAATTTACAATTGGTTTAAATATAAAAAGGCATATAAACATTTTAATTTTATTGAGATCATAATTTGCCTCATTCTTGATCTAATTCAGGTTCTAACAGGAAATTGTCAGTATATTTAATAAATAATGTTTATATAAATACATTTGTTTAAATTATAATTTCATTATTTATCAAGCTGCTATAAGCAAATATATACGTGCTGGATCATTTGGCAGTTTAATATTCACCATATGGTTGGCAAACAGTTTGTTTTGGATTCAGTTGTTTGGCAATGAATTTCTATCTAATTTAGCGAACCCTCCGTTGCGTTCAATAAACAGCATCGAAGATATAGGGCCCGAAATTACGGTATTAGTCGACAATACTAATCAGGGATATAACTATTACATTAAAGTAATTATGGTATAATTAATAAAACTAATTAATCAATTAATAAAATCATTTCAATTCAAATTAGCATACATATTGCAATTTAAAGTACCAAGATAAATATTCTTACAACATTTATGATCCAGAAATGATTAAGAAAATTTACCATGGTAACTACGTGTTTATATTGGCAGAAGCTCACCTTGGTATCTTTGCCCGACTTCACCCGACCCTAGCATTTCATAAGTCAAGTGAGAACTCCATGTGATCGGTGTTGCGGCCATTGGTTAATAAACATCTCGACCAACAAATTAAATATTTATTTAACCTTAAGTATTATCATAAATCATTTACATAGTTATAAATATATTGAATTTAAATCTAAATCTTATCAGGTTGACGATCATGGCTGAGACTGGTCAAACTTTAGACCGTAATAGATTTGGTGATAAACTAATACGTGATCATTTCGATGATAATGACCAGGATAGTTCTGATACGGATTTGTTTGTCCCTTTAATACTCGTTGATATAAAATTATTTTTCTATTTTTTAATGTATGGTTTAATGTTTGGTATAATGGGATTACTTAGTGAGTTAATATATCAGCGTTATCAATTTAATTAAACACAATTATTATATTGTAATAATTTAAAATATTCATGCTATTTGTCTTATCAAAGCTCACATTGGATCCCAAGTTTGGATGCATTTCATATTTTTAATTTATTTTATGGATTATTAATTTTAATAATTTATATAATGTGTGATTTATCAATTAAATAAATATTTTAATAAAAATCAACATTTTTTGTAGTATATGATTTGAATTCGATCAATTTAAATATTCAATCTATCTAGACAAAATAGACAAGTGTGTTTTGCAAAATGTTTGTTCTACAAAGTTTGTTAAAATCAACTTAATATTTTTTAATTTGTATAATTTGATTTAAAAATATTATAAAAACATATAAAATTACTACTAATTAAACGTAGTGTTTGTAAAATTTAATATTCAATATTTTAAAAATACATTCAATATAATGAACAAACTCTATAAATGACTATATCCGGTTTGTTTTATTTGTAGCTATTATTTTCTAATAAATCTGTATCTCTAATATGGAAATAATATTTTTAAAAATAACTTCCTAGTCAAAATAAAATTATTTTAAAAAATACTTTAATAACAAACACAGTTGGTTATTAAATAGAAAATAACACTCATAATAACATTACATAAAATGTTGATGATAATAATAACTATAGTTATTTCAGCATGTTACATTAATAAAATAAATACCGAAATCAATGTGTGGGGCAGATGTGGTCGACCGGCACTACCACTACATGCGGTGCTCACAGGCATAGCTGCGGAACAGAAATATTTCAACGATAACCAAACGGTGCGAATCGAGTGCAGAGGTAATGGCAATGAATTTCCATACTATGGACAGCAGATACAGTGCCGAAGTGGCCAATGGACTGGACCCTCAATTCATTGTGGTAAAGTATATACTAAAGTGTATATTAATAATACGCTATTAAATTGTATATACAATAAAATTTTTGATTGATAGATAGATAGATTAGATTTTATACTCTGAAAAATTTATATTGTTTTTGTTCCACATTTTTTCCCCCAATTAACAATTATTTCAATTTAGTATGTTATATTATTCGTAACTAATATTTATATTTACAGTTACTATGGTAATTTAAATATTAAAATAAATAATTAGTTTATATAATTAAATTTAGAATCAATTAACATTTACATAATCTAAATTAAAGTATATTAAATCTTTAGGTCGCATACTTAGTGCCCAACTGATTAACCTGGATATATACGACTGCAGCCAAACACTAGTCATATCACAACCAATAGTGATGGACGTCGACGACGGGGACAGCGCCGACGGACACCTCTACCGACAAACACTGCACCGTAACTCCTATCACATGTCGCGGGTAGGGGTGAACACAGACGTGGGCGCCGACGGCCAGTCCTGTTACCAATTTAGGTTTAGTTTCAACGAGTCGGTCAACATTTGGTACATGTTTTTGGGTATTGCCTATCGATTTGAGCAAAACCATACCCAACAGTCATGGGTGTTGCCAACTGTCCGGCCGTATATTAATAAATACAGGATTTGCCAAACATTGCGTACCAGTGCTACCAGTTCGACAACATCTGGCAACTCTACATACTATCTCAACGGATATTATTTTGTTTGCGATGTGATTGTAGCCGATATATTGCCGCTCGACGATAGAGTCGATACTATCGATGTGATTATCGATACAGAGGGTCGGGTGGCAGAGGTGTCAATTGACGGCCTTTACCTTGGTGATGTATATGAATATACTGGTAAACGTTACAATTACAATTATTAATTTGTTTAAAATTTGAATTTATATGTCAGTCATAAAAAAGACAGAACAACGTTAATTTTTTCAACAGGCTTATCACAATATTAGTATTTGATAAAACAATTGTGTCAACTCAATAAGAACATAATATGTAAATTATAATAAAAATAGCTAATAAGCTTGGCAATTTGTAGTTCAAGTTCTAAGCATATCCTGACATTTTATGATTGATATATAGATTTTATTTGCAAACCCAAAATTAGAATTAAATACTTCAATATAAAGTACTTTAATAGCGCTGAACAATAGACTAGATAAACTAAATTGAGATATTATAAAATCAGAGTCAACTACATTAATATATATACCAACTACAGTACAAACACTGGACACTAGACTAAACCCGCCAAAAACAGATAAACCAATACAAAACTGGACATCTGGTAAGTCTCTTTCTCCATATTAACACTTTGTAATAAAGTATAATTAATAATTATATTAATAAAATAACAACATTCATCACTGGCCAGATAACGCGCTATACATAATAATCGGGGTCATATTTTTAGCCTCAATAGTTCTAATGTTGTCCGTATGGATGACACTCAGGCGCTACACCCGACGGGTCAGTCGCCAGTTGTCTATTGCGAGGGAAGCCCTGGTATTGAATAGTGGACACAAATACCGGGTGTCCGTCACCGACACCTTTAACGAGGTCTACGCCGATATCACAGAGTATAACAAATATAACGAACCTTACAGTGACATCAACCAGGAGTTGGACGACCCGGTTTATAATAATCTGATCACTTCAAGAAGTTTCATAGTCAAATACCTATCGATCTTGCCCACTAAACAGTGGTTGGATAATAATTTGTATTCAAAATAATTTGTTTTAATTATTGTGAGAGATTGACAATTATTGTGTTAATTGTAAATTAAATTAAGTCAATTTGTTTGATATATAAATAGATGCATAAGTACTGTAAAAGTATATGGTTCTTGTTAAGATTTTAAATAGATATACCGAGATATTGAATTAATTCCAATTAATAAAACTTTTACTGTTATTCTATACTAATTTAATAATTCAATCTACATGTATATTTAAAGTACGGAAGTCTAATTGATTTTCAATTATACCAATATAATTTATATTAATTAATCAGTAATTAGGAACAACATTATGCCGACATCATACTATCATTTATATAGAAATAAATAATGTAAATTATAGTAAATTAAAGTATATTGTCACGTATAAAAACTGTCCATTTGAATATTGTCATCGAAACAATCATTCAAAGGTGGCGCGTATTAATTGATTAGGGTCTGTCAGTAATTAAGTTGTTAAATAGTCTCAAAAGGTCAATC